TTATAATTTATTTCAGAAATGATTTGATTAATGAAAGCTTTTGTTAATAAAAATATTTCACTCTTTATTTAGTTAATAATTTTAGTTTCTAAGTTCTGAATTACTTATTTCCTCTTAGCTTTTTGGGGTGGAAAAAGATAATTTTTAATAGACAAATCAAGAAAAAAAAAAGAGAGATAGAGATTTTGAGATGGAAAGAGTAAGATTTTAAACTTATTTGAATTAGTTAGTCTATTATTTAAGTATTATTATAGTGAGGCATTATTTTTTATTTTAATAAAAATATTTATTTAAAAAAAATTAGTAGAAATATGGAATGAAGAAAATACATGCATTTCTTAATTTTGTTAAGATTCTTAAGAAAATATCAATAAAGAAGACAATCAAAATTAAAAACTTTCTAATGAAAATCAACTAGTATTACTATGAAAAATACTCAAAACACAAGTAGTTAACAAAAAAAATTCGCCCCCTTTACTCAATTTTCTAGCTAGCTACACCCCTGTGCACGATAACCTCACTTTACAGCAAGGTCTGTTGCCTTGAATTGGATGTTTATCCCCCGTAAAATAGGAGAAAAAATGACTTCTTTCTGAGCCACAGTAGAAATGTGGCAGGTATAATTTCTACAATGTATAACAGTACAACACCTTTGAGCTAAAATATTCCGTTAAGCCTGGCTAGGGATAACAAGAATGAAATATCAAATGAACATGGGCCACTAGAGCATTTGGTAACCTGACCAGTGATCCATCTCCCATGGCCAGGGTCGAGTCCCTTTGCCCTCACTCCCCCCTCAATCCCTAAAAACTTACCCATATTAGAAAGAAAAAATGAAAAAAAAGCGTTATCAAATTGGCACTTGGAGGCAAATCCCACATTCCCATTTGGTCAAAAGCATTTTTCTTTCTATTGGAAAGTTGATATAGAAAAGAGTAATTGGCACTTTGGCAGAACCAGAATTTCTTTCCGTTAAACTAATTAAAGCATCAAACCCAAATCATAGCAAAACATTCCTCGCAAAAACAAGTACAGTAGTTTTTTTGGATATGTAAAGATTAAAAATTAAAATTTAACTAAACTTATAATTAAGAGTACATATAAGTCTACTATAGGATAATATAACTGATGGTTACAAGCACCCACAGTAGTACCTCAACGCAAACTCAAAAAATAAGAAATTCAATTCACAATAAGTATTTTTATTACTCAAACTTTTTGTTTTTGTTTACCAAATATGAAATGCTGTGAAAATTGAACCAACAGAAACATAAACTCCAGCTCCAAGACTGGGTGCTGGGGGGAAAAGTCTAATTTTAGTCCCTTACCTTATCAAGTTTGAAGGTTTTAGCCCCTCACCTTACTAGATTTGTAAGTTTTAGCTTATCATCTTATATTAAACACTTTTAGCCCCTCGCCTATTAAAATTGAAGAAAATAGCTCTCAGTTTGTAACATTTTGTTAGTTCTGTTAGTTGACTGTTAATTTTATTAGTTGATTGTTAGTTGAGAAAAACCTTCTTTTAGTTAACAGAGTCTTTTAGTTAACAGAGTTAACAAAACTAACTTTATAATATTTCGTTCATTCTGTTAATTGACTATTAGTTGATTGTTAGTTGACAAAAACTTACTTTCAGCTAACAGAGTAAACAGTTAGTGTAAAATGAGGGTTATTTTCTTTGATTTTAATAGGTGAGGGGCTAAAACCTACAAATCTAGTAAGATGAGGGGTTAAAAATATTATAGTATAAGGTGAGGGGCTAAAACCTTCAAAATTAATAAGGTGAGGGGTTAAAAGTAAGTTTTTGTGGGTGGTGCTGTGGGACTTGTGGCTTTCCCAAGTCCCAAGGTCCAACCAGATCAGGCCATTTTTCTCCTCGTTTGGCCCAAAACTCAAGTTGGGTAACAGCCTTGAGCCTTAAAAGGCTATTAAGGCTCTAGCCTACTGACCAACTTGTATTATCCTAGCCCATCAATTACTCAAAGAATTGGCTTCCCTTGTCTCTATGTTTTCTTCTTTTCTCTCTTATTTTTTAATAAAAATAAGGGGAAATTACACTTACTTTCATGTGATTTAGAGTGAGTGCATTTAAAGGTCTATGATATCAAAATGTGCACTTAAAAACTTGTGTTTTGAAATAAAAGCAGCTGACACTCTTGTCGTTAAAAACTTAACAGAAAACTTCACTTTTTATCTCAATTCCTCTAATGCCTTTCTTGCCTAACACCACTATCTTGCCCAACGCTAAAAGTTGAATTGTAGTTCGTTTGACTCATTACAACCACTTACATTCTCATCATTTCTTGGGAACTTATTACCATCCAACTGGCAAAATACATTAAAAATGATAATAATTAATTCATTCATTCATTTTAACTAGCCACATTCAAACCACTTACATAATTCAATTGAAAAAAAAAAATTTGCACATGTATAAAATATTCATAATTTGCATGTATTGTTGAAACTAATTAAAACTAGATATGCATAAAATCAAGAATATATTATTTATAACTACAAATGACCAAGATAGAACCTTTCAATTTTCAAATAAAATCTTCACTTTCTAAATCCTAAACAAGCAACAAAATTCCCAATCGAACACAAAAAGGTCAATAAAAGAAAATTAGAAACAAAGTATCACTTTGGAATATAAATTACAATAGATTAAAAGATTTTGTTCGATTACTTGCAGAGAGTTATTTTGTTTGGTTTTCATCTTCACTTAAGTCGATCTTTGAAGATTGCTATGAAAGAGAGTCTGTGCGATAGTTGAGCTTTTCCTCTCCTTTTTTTATTTTATTTTTTATTTTTAGATCAAGGGTATTTGAGATATTGCACATAATTTTAACATCATTTGGATGGTAGAAGTGGTTCAGTGCTCAAGGTTCAAAACACAGGTCTTTCAGTATACATTTCGATACCACAAATCTTTAAATGCCACTCACCTAAAACCACAAGTAGGTTATGTGTAATTTTCCCTAAAATAAAACTAGAAAATGACTATATTTTATGAGTTTGGATTGCAAACTACAAACCAGCTATTCGAAGGAGGAACCCACACCCATTATTAACGAACCACTTATCATTTAGTAAATAGTATTTTATAATTCAAATTATAAAATATTTTTTTAATACCTTATTAGAAGTGTATGAAAACACAAACTTGTCCAAGTTACATTGATTATCTCAACACAAAAAAATTAGGGTGTGCAAGTATTGACTTGGTGAGTTGATTATGTTCTCAGAAACAGCTTATGACAATGAGTTATATAACACAATTGCAAAAGTAGTCTTTTCATTGCTTAAATCTGTTGTATTCAAAGTTCAAACCGGACACCTTTGACCTCCCTAGTGATAGAAATAGATTATTTGATTAACATCGAAGCGGACAATTTTAGGATTGTTTTGTTGGTCTTAATTTTTTATATGATTACCAAAATCAAGTATACACTAAATATTTGGAATATCAATTTTTAAATTCAAAGATTATGCTAATATCTTTAGAATTCAAGACTTTCACATTCATATTTGGAAACAAGTTTATGGAATAATGTATACTTTCCGTTTTGGAAAGGATATTTATCTCTTTTAATATATTTCCCTGGATAGAGGTTGGACTTCCATAGTTCTAGATTACATCCAATGGAAGGCAAGATTTAAGCTTTCAATGTTTCAGAACATATTAAATAAGTTCCAAAACCTTTGACAGAATTCTAAAACAAAAGGAAATCAATGGCTTGCTTTTCTGAGCAGCAACAATTAGTTTGTCCTGGATTTGTATGTTAGGTTTAAAAGGATGTTTTGGAAAAGGTAGCAGAAATAGAGTGGAACCCTAATTTATTTTTGAGAAAAGCTTACAAAGTTTCAACTTTGCTCGTTGTGCTTCATCCTTGTTAACTGATCATCTAAGTGATCAACAATGTTTGTTGTTCTTTTAAGAGTGAGAGAGTGTTTGGGGGGAAATCCTTGTTAGATTTAGAAAACGTTCCTAGTGGTTAGGATTGGGTCTTGAGAGAGATTGTAAGAAGGGGATGAGTTGTTAAAGGTGAACAACACCAATAAAATTATTGTACATGATTGCCTCTACACCCACAAGTTGGAGAAGAACATTTGAATTTAAACCTAATTCTCAAGTAGGAGGTTTAAGAAGTGAATTAATGACTGAACCACTATAAAAGACTATGTTTAATTTTTCTCTTCCTTACTCTCTTAATTTCTACAATTTAGTTTACTTACAGATATTTACATTTGCTTGTCTCTAGTTTTAAATCCAAAACTTGAACAAATTTTTAAGAACTCAATTCACCCCCTCTTGGATTGCCATCTTTTGGCCAACATGTTGAATTTAAACATGGAAGATTGGTTAGGCATTGGTAGATTAGATACAAGAATAGTATGCAACAACATATTTTTGACTTCGTTTTATGGATAATTTATCAGCTTTGTAGCCGCTCAACCAAGAAAAGTTTGGTTCTGACAAGAAAAGGAAGTAAAAAATTGAGTGTGGTTCTAGGCTACTGTGATGACCACTATTATTTATGTTAGAGATTAAAGTTATTAAATTTTTATCTTAATTTGATTATTAAAAATAATTAATAATTGATAAAATAGTTTATATTTATTATTTAATATATTAAAATTAATTTATAAATAAATATTTTTTAATATCATAATTAATTTGTAATACCCCAAAAATTTCAAGAACATTAAAGTTGAGTTAGGGACTTAATGGTGAGGAAACGTTATTAATGGACCTAATAGTCAAATTTCCAAATTCCAAAGGGGTCAAAAGATTTTTGGGATAAGGCCGGCTGACCTTTCCTTTTTTTTTTTTTTTCTTTTCTTTTCTTTTCTTTCTCTCTTTCTTCCCCAGCCATTTTCGCGTGTCTGCTCTGTTTCTTTTTCTCCCTGCAGCCGGACATAAACCAGCCATCACCGACGCCTCCACCTGAAAAATTGAAAATTCCCCAGATCTGCTGTCTTCTTCCTCCCTTGCCGCCGGTTGCTGCTGGGTGTTGTGAACTTCGGTTTTCCTGTGGTCCCGTGGAAGCCTCCAATTTTTCGCTAGCTCTTCCCCCCATACCCGTCAGCTCCAGCCTTGCTTGCTGAGGATTTCTGGTCCTTGATCGTCCTGTGACCCTAGCACTTGGATTAAGCCTTCTGTCCTGTGCAATTAAGGTAAGTAAATGATGGTAATGCCCTTAAATTTTAAAGCATATTTTAACTTGTTTTGAGATGGTGACGAGGTTTAAATGGGTTTATTTGCATTTGAGCATGATTAAATGGAAATTGAACTTTTATCATTTTCCTTATTTTCTAGAATTAGGCATGCCCACATGAGATTTCTTCGGTTTATTTTTGAAAGTGAGAACGATTGTGAATCGTGGAATTTTTTTGTAAATCTTGTTTGGTTTTGTCTCCGATATGGTCGTGTTATTCGTGTGCCCACTAGTGGGAGGTTTATAAATGCTAGCACATGTCGACATGTTATTGATAGAATCGGTTCCCTCGTGTTATCCTACTAGTGGGATTATACACTAGTAATCGTGTGCTTGCCAGTGGGAGGTTTATAACACTGGTCATAACTAATAGAGGAAACCACTATTTAATTTTATTTTACATTAATGGTTTGTTATTGAAACGCTCTGTTTGTGTTTCAACTGTTTATTTGGTATGCTTTAAATTTTGATCCCGGGCATCCATATTTACTTACTGAGATATTTTATTTCACAGTTTTCTTTGTCCACCATTTCAAGTAGTGAGACCCGATGCATGGGGAGCTCGGGGGAGTGACGAGTTAGACGGCTAAGCATTTTTTGGACTTAGTTTTGTAGCTAGGCTGCTAGTCACCCAT